CACTCAACTGTTGAGTCCGCTGAACGCAGTCACTGTTCTCTGAAGAATTAAGAATACACGAAGCAAGTATGAGTAGATGTCGATAAATCAGGATAAAATTCGAATTCGAGATTTGTCGATCTTGAATTCGGATAGGATTGCGAGCGACATCTGCCAGCACATCTGGCAAGATTATGATCAAAATTCGCATGCCACCGGAGCGGAAAAGACTCTCTCGACTTCTGCTCTCTGCTCCACTTTGTTCTGACTCCATAATTCATACGCGGTACAACTGAGTGAACTGAGTACAACTCAGTACAATTCCGTACACGATACGGAAGAACGCAGGATGGCACGCGGATAGTTGAGGCCTTTTTACATTTATTTATATTTTTCACGAACGCGCGCTCTCACGAGCAATTGTGATGGCGTCGACTTATATCAAAGACGAGACGGGTAAGAACCAGATACTCGCCATGTCGCGAAGTGTACCTATGAGGTACGCACCGGCTCTAACCTCGGTCGTGTAAACAAATGTAAAACTATAAATTTTTCATAATAATGAATCGTTTCTTTTCCCACGTGCTGTAATTAGACGATTAACCTCGTAAAATTTTTGTGTGTCTCGTCGTAGCCTATCCCCAAGCTGATTGTCTTATTAGAATTCTTGTACTTGCGTTAACTGTGTATTTTTTTAATTCAAAAATTTTGCGGATATATGATCAAGATTGAATAGTTATGATTGAAATGTGTGATTATTATTTCAGGTACGTTTATCCCAGCAAGCCAGCGACCCGATGGTACATGGCGAAAGCAACGACGTGTGAAAGATGGATATATTCCTCAGGAAGAAGTTCCTTTGTAAGTAATTGTGTATGTTCTTTAATATCTTGACATTATTTGCTAACTTTGTTTTATTTCTATTGCATATTTCTGTTATTTCCTTTGTAGATATGAAAGTAAAGGAAAGCAATTGATAAAGAAGCCTTTATATCCTGTGGGTGCCAGTCCAGAATTTATAGCAGAACATAAAGCCAAGCTAGAAGCTCTAGCGGCGAAAAACAAAGTAATACCTGGTACGCAAACAAAAACTCAAGAAGGATCCTCCAAGAAGAAGAAAAAGAAAAATAAATCTAAAACTGCGGAACCTGTTGCCGAAGGATTGTCCAAAATCATGATCTCAGAGCCTGAATTTCATAAAGAAGTTCCAACTCACACCGATAAACCATTGTCTACTGCAAAGCAAACCACAACAAACAATATAACTAAAGACAATTCAAGCACATCGCAGAAAACGACAATTGAACCACAAAAGAGATTAAAAAATCTTCGTAAGAAAATTAGAGAAATAGAAGTATTAGAGGATAAAATGAAAACTGGTGCTCTGAAAAATCCCGATAAGGAGATACTTGACAAAATCGGAAGAAAAATAGAGATTTCGAAAGAAATAAAAAGATTAGAAGCTGCTTTATAGATCATATCGAATTAAAATTCATACAAATTTGTCAATGCTATTGCAAAATGATGCAGTTGTAAAACTTGATTGATAACAATCCTATTCTATAGAGAAAATGTTTGTTTCTTTCGACAGTTACATTACAGTTTAATATTACATCTTAATTATTTTTTACTTACAATGTGTAGATTGATAATATTGATATATTTATATGTATGGCAATAACATTGATTCTGATATTTGATGACAAACTTATACATACATCTATGTATACATATATGTATATAAGAGAATTTACGTACGAAAGTTTTAATGAAAACAAATGGAGTTTTCGTAACGTGATTTATGCTCTGGATATTACGATTCAAACCAGTTAAAAGAGATAAAAACAGTTTTAGATGGATTTATATTAGCGGTCAGGACGATCTAAGAAATATATGTAGACATCTGTGAAAGTGTTTTAATGAGAATTATTATGCATTTAATGTGATAAGACAAACTATATCAATTTATAATATTTATAGCGAATAAATCCTAAATTATATAAAAAATTATCGCGCTTTTGTGAAGAAAATAAATGATCTCAAAATTATTATCACATAGGTTTTTATTAATAATAATTTTATTATATAATAAAGTAATAGTAATTTTATTATGTAATTATATAATTCGAAATCGTCTTAGACAATTAGCGCCTACATGCTCTAATATGTTCCAACCACAGCACCTTTCTCTCTGTAGGAGTTCTGTAATAAGAGCATGTTGGAGCGTGCAACGCGACAAACCTGGGTAGCGATCATTTAATTTTTTTTGCTAGAGCGGAAATGTGAAAAGTGAACATTTTTATATTCATATCCACATACAAAGAATTTTCTCATTTCCGCCCTAGGGAAAAAGTTACATGATCGCTACCCTGATTACAACTTATACAATGTTACCAATTCGTAGAAAATGAAATTGTGATGCTTAGGGATTTTTGTTGCAACCAACATTATCCCCTCTTTTTTTATGTAAATTGTCATATAACCCTCCCGACAGCCAATCGGTGCACAAAAATTTTCATATCGTTGTGACTCGTTTCGTAGTTCGTAGTTTGCTTCCCTGTTATTTGGCTACGACGGTTGACTGATACGGTGCTGTTGTTGCGAGGTTAAAACATGCGAGTTCTGGAAATACGTAGATCACCTTTATGAGAACAAGTTGTAGGCGACAATTAGGATGTTTCGATCGACAAGGAGTTTGATCATCGCGCTGCAACGTGCGAAGGATTGCCGTTTGCATACGTGCGGTCAACGATTATCAGAGGTTGCCGAATATGAATGTGAGTAATGGTGACGAGAGGTTTGTGATTTTTTTAATAATAATCGCTTTTTAAATGTAGCTCCTATCACGGACGATTATAAAAAGGGTCCGATGGAGGGTAGAGCCCTTTACTTGGATGCTCAAGCCACTACTCCATTGGTAAGTTCGAGACATGATGTCATATGATGCAATCTATAGATTTGTTATTATTGATTTTTTTTATTTTTGCATTGGACTGCACTTGAATTTTTCTTCTCATTTTCGTCAAATTTCAAATATATACTTATTTCACTATAAATACAAAAAGTACACTAGTTTACTTATAAAAAACAAATCTCACGTACATATGCAAATAACGTATGAAATAATAAATTACTAGGATCCCCGAGTATTAGATAAGATGATGCCGTATCTGACAGTGTACCATGGTAATCCCCATTCCAGAACTCACATGTACGGTTGGGAGTCAGAAGCAGCAGTTGAGCATGCTCGTCAGGTTGATATTTTAAATTTACAAATTCTTCTATATTATATAGCTGTTAAATCTGAAAGATTACTTGTCTTTTTTTAATAGCAAGTTGCAGATCTAATAGGAGCAGGCAAGAAGGAAGTGATATTTACATCTGGGGCAACAGAATGCAATAATATTGCTGTAAAAGGTATAGCGAGGTTCTACAAATCCAAGAAAACTCATATTGTGACAACCCAG